TGTCCAAAGAAAAACTTTAAAACACCTTCAGGAAGCTGAAGCTGGAGGATTCCTGACCTCAGTGGCTCAGAACTTTCGACATCACGTTAACTTTTTAAAAAACTGGATCATTTGTCCTCGAACGCTAAAAGCAGCAGTTTTTCCTGCTGTCATGTAATCAGGATCCCACTGAAGTCTGAGATTTATGGAAGAAACCATCAGTCACGCTCATGTTTGTCTTTCCTGCACAGTGGGCATGCCCGGGCGTTTGCTTAGCTGCATTTAATACACAGCTCATGATTCACCTCAGTGATCAATCTCATTATCTGACTGGCTAAAGGAAAATTCCATTTATTTTTTAACATTAGAGATATCAGGCGCACTAAAAGATCAAGGGGTCAGGGGTCATGGAGGTCCATCCCATCACAGAGCACTTCCTGTCTGAAGCCATAATTATAACAGCTCAGTGCTCCAAATACAGACAAGCACAGACTGAGAAACACAACTAGAGCAAAGTGTCAAATCACGTTTTCTTTTATAAAACTTGGTGAAGAAAGTCTTAAAAAGTGACCGTATTTTATGGTACAGCTTTAATTCTGGAGCCTGTAAGCCGAGAGGAACGCTGACAGTTAAAGGGGAATTCCACACGCTTTCCAAAATCATCCGCTACGGAGGAATAACATAACAGCAGGAACAAACGGATGTTTGTGAGACTTTGGCGTCTAGTTGGATCCTAAAGGTCGTTCTGCAGAAACAACATGGCAGCCAGTCTGTACATTCAGAGGTATTTCATTTTAATAGCTTAGAAAGAGAAAGCCATTGACTGTAACCGTCCGACTTCAGTCTCAGGGTTTGACCCCAAAGCTTCAGTTATTCTTGTCGTTTCAGTTTCAGAGTGACTGAGAGAGTTTGGACTGAGTAGAAAGAACCCAGAACAACCCTGAGAGAAACGCAGTCTGCAGCACTAAACGCTGGGACGAAAAGAAAAAAGCCTCATTGTTTTATCTGCAGCGATTTATATTTGGCAGTAGGAGTCTGGTCTGGGAGCTGCAGCATCAGTGACAGGATCTGGGTTTGGCGGGGGGTTGCAAAGCAGCTTGCACCGGCTGCCAGCACAGCCAGTTTGTAAGATGACCCGGTGCACGTAGATCAGTGTGTCGTTGGCCTACGTGATGATTTTAGTTTCCTTCACAATCACACAAGACTTCTTTTGTCTCGCGATATGCAACAAAATAAGTAGTAACTATTTGTGTCATAATTAGTAGTTTAATTTTTACCAACTAATTCAGATTTGCATCCACCTGGTCTTCAGTCGTATACGTTCATCTTTTATTTAGATAATCAATCATAATCATTGTAGATCTTTGTGACACGTTGAGTTTCATTCATCACTCTCGTGATTGAAACACAACATTTATGCCACTGAAAAAAAACAAAACCTTTGGACAACCAGATGTCTTGGTGGGGAAACGAAACCCGGGCTGACTGTTGTTATTATCAGGGGTCACAGGTGGCAGTTTGGAAACTACCAGAGCTGGTGTAACAGTTTTCTTTGCTGCTGCTCTGACGTAATCATAGCTGCTTTCCAAACCTCGCCAGGATAAACCAGAGTGAGTGAAATGAAGGCACAATAAGGTGTGTTGGTCAATGCAGCTCTGAGTGACCAGAAGCGATTAAGGGTGATCATTTCTATCTCAGAGTTTCTGTTAAAACTGGACGGCTCATCTCTCATCACATCTGAAAGCTGATATTTTACTGACAAGAGTGACTGAAGCTGCGCCGACACACACGAGGAGTCGATTGTCTCATGAAATCCATCGGAAAAATTCTGAAAAAAACCCAAATGTTCAAACCCTGAATGTCCCAGCTCGCAAACAAGAGAATAAAAAAGCGGTGAGGTTCGTCTCAGCAGGATGGAGGGCAGAAGAAGTGGTCACAGTTCACAGGCTGAAAGTTTCCCTGGACAAAGACATGGAGGAATGTTCGGTCCTCACTTCACAGTGCCCTCAAGCAAGGCACTTCTACAGCAGGCGCTTGTTCCAGTGGAGCTGAACAGAAGCAGCCCTCAGTTCAGTGTGTGAGTGGATGAAAACAAAAGCAAAGTCTTCCCTGGACAAATAACAACAACAAACTAAAAATAAAAGGCAAAAAACCCCAAAAAAAACAAGAGTTCATTTTCTGTCTCCGCCTCCTGATTTGAAACAGCAGATATTTCACACTTTTAAATAACATTAAACATTATGGCTATGATGAAAATTTACATTCTGACATTTAGATAGGACTACCGTAAAAATACAAATGTGCAAAAGTTGTAAACAAATCAGATCGTATGTGTGGTTTGTCACAGCCTGGTGGGCTCCTCGTCACTGTCGCTGCAGTTACCACAGCAGTCCTGCAGGGGGAGGAAGAGAGCACCGATGTTACTGTCAGATCATTTTTCTATTGACTCCATTTTATTCTTTGTATTTGTATTGTATGTATTTACTGGTCTTTTTTGTTTTTTACCATCTTGCTGTTTTATCATATTAACTCCGCCTTACTGACGTCCGTCTGTCGAGTTAGCTTACACCAGGGGTGGGCAACGCCAGGCCTCGAGGGCCGGTGTCCTGCAGGTTTTAGATGTGTCCTTGATCAGACAGCTGATTGGCTAAATTAGCTCCTCAACATGTCTTGAAGTTTTCCAGGGGGCTGGTAATGAACTAATCATTTGATTCAGGTGTGTTGACACAGGGTGAGGTCTAAAACCTGCAGGACACCGGCCCTCGAGGCCTGGCGTTGCCCACCCCTGGCTTACACTATACAGTTTAGTGTACTTTGTGTTAGCTCACAGCTCGTGTGTGTTGATGTATGCTGGTAAATAAAAGAGCGGTGATGTTCTGGAGGTGAGGGAGGTTGCTCACATTTCTGCCGAACAGTCGCTGCAGGAGTCCCTGTTTGGGTGTCGGAGACGGCTGTCCTCTCCAGTCCAGGTCAGGAGGAACCGCCCCGTCCTGGTAGAAAACGTTGAGCTCTGTGAAACACTCTGTCTCGATCATCTGCCGAGAAAAACACAAAAATCTCAGAACCTGTGCAAAAACACGGGGCAGTTAGGAGTCTGCCCCGTGGTCAAAAGGCTCGACTTGTTCTGGACAGCAGC